CTTTCATCCCTGTTTTTGGTTCAGTTAGGGAGTTGAGGGAAGTTTATGTTGTTGTTTTTTTTTCTTTCTTTTGGGCGTTTGAGATAAGTTAGCTGTTCCCAAAATTGGTTCGTTAATTGTTTTGTTTGTTATTTTAGGCCTTGCTCTCCCCTGAGCTATTTCTCCATATATTTTTATGTTAAACTTATTGTCCTTGTTCTGTAAATAAATCTCCATTTTTGTATATGTCTGAATTGGTGTCGTCTTCACTCTGGGACAGAGGACTGAAGTGTGTTCTTGCCGTTTTTTTTTTTTTAGTTTTTTTTTAGGCTTTTTCCTTTGCTACTTCCGCTCCCAATCCTGTAGACAGGAGGGGAACGCTTCCGCTCCCAATCCCGTAGACAGGAGGGGAACGTAACAATGGATGTCTGTGTATTTCTCTGCTTCTGTGTGCTGCTGTGACAAATGAAGCGAGGACAGAATCGTTGACGAAGGAAAAGAATGGTGAGAATCTGCTGATTGCACTGAATGTCTTTAACTTTACAACAATATCATGATCTGATGTGTGTGTGATTTGGCTTCATTCAGTTTATTAATTCAGATTTCAAACAAATGACTGTAAGTGAATTAAACAGCAGCTCTACTGAGAGAAATGCTTTTAATGCTACAAACATCCAAGATGTAGTAGCTCTAAAAACCTAATTAAACTTTACATTTCAGTTTGCATATTCTAGTAGATGCATGACTGAGTTCTCAAATATTCATTTGTGAGAAAAGTGCTTGAACTAGATATAAATGCTTGACGTTAGTTTTTAGTTTGCATCTCATATATAACAAAATCCACACCAGTGCATCTTCTCTGTTTTTAATTCGTCGTTGTCTCTGTATTTTCCCTCAGATTCCTCAGGAAAGCGAGTGAATGAATCAGTGGCTGTAGAGATACCGCTGCTGAATGACTAAGTTCCTGATGGAGTGAATGAGCAGAAGAGAGGAAGAGAGGAGGAGTTCACTTTAACAACACAAGACCCGCCCACTCCTGTCAATCACTCTGACATCATCAACACTTCAGCTCCAGCTCCAGCAGCAACACATGCTTCTGCTTTTATGAGCCTATAGACTCCGTCCAGGGAAAGTCAGAGATAAATCTGTGTGCTGAGCGGTTAAACTTGCATGCAAGAAGCTTCATACCTGTTACTCTGTTTAGCATAGTATTAGTCTGACTCTCACAGATTTGATTTTGTGTGATTGTAGACAGTGAGTGTCATACATGCTTTTTATAAGACGTTTTACCACAGCAGTATTTCTTTAACCACTGCATGTGCTGTTTTTATATAATTAACTCCAGTATCAGATTAATGTCCAGCATTGATTAGTGTCGCTAAAGCTGAGATCACATGACCTTCTTCTTCTTGTGTATAGTGCCTTTGTATTCATGCTGAAGCACTTGCAACTAGCCTTCTTGCACTTGCAGCAAAAAAAGATGAAAAAACACCTTTGTTCAGTTCTTGTAGTGATATGATACATGTGCTTTGTGTTGTTTTATTAAATTTGACAACAGCATCTGCTTGATGAATAATGTTCATGTAAGATATTGATATGCCGCTGATCTTATATCTGATCATTTCTGTCCTCTAGTGGACAAACACTGATACAGCTTTTGCTTCCTAGCAACTGTGTAAACATGCAACGCATAAACAGTGTACTACACCTTTGAATATGAGTGATACAATCTTAATAAATAATAAAAAGGCAGAATTGTGTCAGATGTGTGTTGCTTCATACTGTATGTACACAATCAAATCTTATACAGTTGAAAAATAAATGAAAATTATCCTCTACAGGTAGTTGTGTTGGTCGTAATAAAAGTGACAAAATCAGATATTGTTCAACTATCTGAACATGGTAATGGAAGAAAAGTACATAATAATGGTTTTATGGTCAAGTGAATTATGGCATGTTATTGAAACCGAATTACAGTTAAAAGAAAATTACAATCTTGACTTTTCTTAATGGGGTCATATGATGCGATTTAAAGTTTTCCTTTCTCTTTGGAGTGTTACAAGCTGATTGTGCATAGATAAGATCCCTGAAGTTGCAAATACTAAAGTCTCAAAACTAAAGAGATATTCTTTATCGAAGTTGCAATCTCAAAACTAAAGAGATATTCTTTATCAAAGTAAAGACTCTGCCACGCCCCCCTAAAA